TCGATCTGCTGACCTCGTGATCCGCCCGTCTCGGCCTCCCAAAGTGCTGGGATTACAGGCTTGAGCCACCACGCCCGGCCCAGTAGTGAAACTTTCTACTTTCCACATTTTCTATCAAGAAAAGAAAGAGGTTGTATTGTGAGGTAAGAGGCACACACACGGACTTTCTTCAGTCCCTGCAATCCTTGCTATAGGTCAGGCATCAAGATAACTCCACTTTACAGGCCTGGATTTTGGAGAAAGAAAGGTGTTTACAAGTTTCTGTACAAGTATAGTTATACTGACATTTAAATAGTCCACAAGACCGAACTTCCTAACATTCCTATTACATCGATATTAATGAAAGCATTACATAGGTTACAAGGAAGCATGTCCAGGTATATGCTGAATGATGTAATAAGGAAAATGTAAATAAGCATTGCCTTAGTCTTAAGGTAGCTCCTGCGATTGCAGAATCCTAGAATTGTGGAGATGATGGGGACTTCAGAGACTCTTTCATCCAAATCCTTTATTTAATGGAAGAAGGGAAAGAGGTCTAGAGAAGCTGTGACTTCTCTCAGATCACACAATAAATTAGTGGCGAAGGTAGGACAAAAACCTAATTTCTGCTTTCCCATTTTCTTAAGAAATTGTAGAACAATTGTAAGCCACTGATACATTCCACATAATAAAGCCGCTCTGTTGCCTTTTTAGGTTCTAGTATGTTAGGTTTATGTTCCCCTGCTTTCTACAATCCTGTTCAAAGAGTTGCTGACTTAACCACAGAGAGAATTCCAGAACATGAGACACAGAATAAACTTGAGCAATCATAGTCCATCCATTTCACTTTCTCATCGAAAACCAAAGGTCCAGTAAAGCTCTGGAACTCAACACTGTAAAGGAGCGAAGGAGCATTTATACAGAGCCTGGGTCCCTGTCTCCTTATCCTACTTCAGCGGACTTGACTGCAATCCGGATTATGCTGTTTCCTAAGCATTTAAAATAAAATAAAAAGTGTAATAGTGTGATAAGTTATTTCATAAAGCAAGTAATCACATTTATGTTTCTGCTTACATTTGGGTTTTCCAAATATGTGTGTGTTTGTGTGTGTGTGTATGTAGACTTTAAACATGGTGCATCCATCATGTTGCACTAAATCAAAACCACCAAATAATGACATAGAACCAATAAATCAAAACCATCAAATAATGACATAGAAATCCAATTCTCCCACCTCACACCCATTAAGAGGTCTACTAACAAAAAAACAGAAAGTGAAATGTAGTATATATATACAATGGAATATTATCCAGCCTTAAAAAGGAAGGCAATCCTGCCATGTGCTGTAACATGGATGAACCTCAAAGACATTGTACAAAGTGAAATAAGCCAGTGACACAAAGTCAATCATTGTATGATTTCACTTATATGAAGTACTTAAAGTAGTCAGATTCATAGAGACAGAAAGTTGAATGGTGGTTGCCAAAGGCCGAGAGGAGGGAGGAATGAGGAATTCTTGTTTAACGGGTATGGAGTTTCAGTTTTGCAAGATGAAAAGAGTTCTGGAGATGGATGGTGGTGATGGTTGGACATTATGAATTATGAACATATTTAATACCACTGAACCATACATTTAAAAATGGTTAAGATGGCAAAATTAATGTATTGTGTATTTTACCAAAATTAAAAAAAAATAGAAAAAAATCCAATCCTCCCTTTCCTTGGTCTAACACAGTCTTTCACCACCCCCAGCATCCTCTCTCCTATCCACTCCCAAGCGCCAGTTAGTGAGGCAAATAAGGACCATTATTATTTCCATTCTCTCTCTCTACAACAATTTCCCTATTGATTCAAGCAAGAATGTGGGGTATGGATTATGGGCAGTATGACTTACGATAAACTTTCACTCTTCAAAACAACACTCTCTTTTAAACATCTCCTCTCTCTTGAAATGGATTTGTAACCCCAGAACTAAAAAACAGGCCAGAGAAATGATGCATGTATGTTTTGATGTGTAGCCGAAGATGAGCAAGTTGAGATTCATCCTGGGTTTGGGTAATGAATTCTGATTCTATGCATCATCAAAGATTCCTTTATTTGTCTTCCTTGTTTTTCCTCCCCATGAGTGTATCTGCTATTGAATCATGTGCACGCCATTCAATGATTATCTCACTACAATAAGGTCAGTGGGGAGCAACTTACTCGTTTCCACTGCTCCCAACAACCATGAGAAATTATAAGTAATGACGTCTTAAATAAAATTAACATAATGCTAAATCTTAAAGATCTAAAGCAGAATAATGCAAACAATTTTAGTGATGTGGCTGTCACTTTAAGATACTAACCTGTAAACTACAGAAAATAATGCTGTCATTAATTTATTTGCACATGCTTTATGGAATGATTAAAAGTTGTTAGTGGCAGGGCACAAAGGCTCACATCTGTAATCCCTGCACTTTGCGAGGCTGAGGTGGGAGGATCACTTGAGCCCAGGAGTTCAAGACCAGCCTGTGCAATATAGTGAGACCCTGTCTCTACAAAAAAAAAATTTAAAAATTAGCCAGGCATGGTGTCACACACCTGTAAGTCTCAGCTACTGAAGAGGCTGAGATAGAAGGATCGCTTGAGCCCAGGGGGTCAAGGCTGCAGTGAACTATGATCGCACCACTGCACCCCAGCCTGGGTGACGGAGTAAGACTCTGTCTCAAAAACACAAAGAAAACAAAGCTGTTAGTAAAATAACTTGACATCCTGTGTTATTGGGTAGTAACTGTTTAAAGAGAATAAAACATTTAGCACTTTGCTTCCACTAGAGAAATACAACCTGACACGAAATTTCATAATGAGTGACCAATTCTGATCCTATAATATAGTGTATTACTGTATCCCGAATAGAAAAGTCTAAAAAGTCTCTAGTATACTATATAATCCAAAACTCAATCATAGGTTCAGTACTTTAGCACTCATTATAAAAACTAAAAAATAGTCTAGCGTATTGCAGAGCATGAACTGTCAAGCTGTATTCAAGTACCAGTTCTTACTGGGTGACCTTGGATAAGATACTTGAACTCTGTGTGCCTCTGTTTTCTCATCTGTAAAATGGGCATAATAAAAAAAAATTATCTATAATGATTTTGGTATGCTGTAACTGTTTAATCCACATTCTCTGCTATTACAGTAAACCAATCTTCTAATTCAGTAAACTCAATAAAATTGTTTTGCATTGCTTTCTCATTGTCTTACTCAAGAGCTGTATGATGTTAACACATAATGATTTCTGAATCACTAGACTGTTGGAAATCTTTGTTGCTTCCTTGTGATCTTTACTGTCAGTTTTAAGTGTTAGGCATTCATTGACTTCAAACACTCCATTGCCCAGTATAGAAAAGACGGAATCCTCAAATCATCTAATTAGACAAAAATGAAACATAAACTGAGGGTGCCCGTATGTCTGTGTGACAGGGCACGTTCAATGACAGTGCATGTGTTCATAACTTCAAATCTTGAATGGAAAAATAACCCTCATTCCAAAAAGAACATAAATAATATTTAAATAAAATCAATTATTGTAAATACATCTAAGGAGGTTTGCAAAGCAATTTCAGCTAGTTCTATGCAATATTTCTAATATGATATGCATGCTGAGGAACATTTATATCTTGTAGATGATAGAGCATCATTAAGCCTCGGTGTACATAAAGATGATGGCATTTGGAAAAGCACCATGATCAGAAATTTCTAAAACCAAAGTGGAGCTGGTTTTTATTCTAAGCCCAAAGTATTTTTAAATCAAGCCACAGGGAAATAATTACTTTTGTTTCTATTCAATCAAGACCTGCACACAGAGTTTATGGAATGACATAATATCCTTCCTGAAATCAGACCAGCATGTAGGAAGGACCAGCATCCTTCACACATAACTAGTTCCTGAACCTTTACAAACAAATCCTAATTTCCAAGGAAACAATCTCATCAAATGCTGCCCACTAGAATACATATTGTTCTTTTTGGAAACATTACAATAAGATTTTCATGATTACAAACCCCAACTTCCTCTCTAATATTCAATATAATCTTAAACTCATTTATTTAAGTGGAAACTGTATTTTTATAATGGCTCTAAAAATTCCTGGTTAACTTATTTAGCACCAATATAATAATTTCTTTTTGTAGTCTAGAAGGAGGGTGATCATTAACTGACTGTAAACATGTGTGTTAGGGGCTTCTTAGGAATGTTCATCTTTCTGCTTTCTACTGATATACCCTATAAGGAGCATGTTTAAAAAAAAAATTTTTTTGAGACTGGTAAATTTTAGTAATGTCCAGACTTCCAGACTGGTAAATTGCGGGGCTGAGAATAAAAACAATATCAAGCAACCTATACTCAATATTCTCTTCTCTTTGCAATAGGAAGCTGGAGTTTTGTGTGCAGGTTACGGGATTTTGTTTTGAGATCAACAAACACCTTAATTCTTTACCAGAAAAACAATATTAACACGTCTGTGGCAACTGCTGACATAAACATACAAACAGGAAGAGAATGCGATTCTAGTGCTTAGCCTGATGGCCTTTAGAAGAGAATTCTTGCTTTCCTCCTCTTCACTAAGGATGTTCAAAATACTCCGGGCAGGGTGGACATTAGTCCCCCGCCCCTCTCTAATGAAATAAACAAGTGTCCACATTCTAAATGTGACAGAGTGTGAGGAAACTGCAGAAAAGCTCCTAAGATACACACTGAGTAACAGTTCTCATCTGTTCTGTAGACACACGTTAAGTTTTGGAATTTATGATTCACTGTCCCACCGTGAAGTCTTTTGGGCACTTTATGTTGAGCTATGTGGCAGCTAAGGACTGTCCTGTTTGCTGAAAACTGCAGCCTGAAGTTATTTTTCAAAGTTACGGGTAGTGTGGCATAGAAATCCATGTTATAAAGTGAAAACAAAACCAAAAAACTGGGTTAGCATGAAATAGAGCCAACAGAAATCAGAATGAGCAACAGCCTTCCACTGCCGGCCACTCACCTTGTTGAATTTTAGTCACTAGCTGATGGCGTGCTAGAATCCGGCTCATCCTGTAAGGAGAGCGTCTTGTAGTCTGATCAAATCGCAAGTACATCTCCTGGCCCTCAGGTGTCATGGAATTTAGGTAGTAGCAGCCTGAGGCTGGGGTCCTGGGCACCTGACTGAACATCTCGGCAGATTTCCTATTGTCACCTCAGTCTGCCTGTGGCTGTTCCCGTCTGTCTCCAGTCTCAGTCAAAGAGCAAGGCACCCAGCCCAGGACAGCTCAACAGACCCAGCGATTTTTAAAAAGAAAAAGGAGTGCCAAAGCCACAACTCAGAATTCCAACCCCCGGGGCCCTCACGTGACCTCGGGAACCAATGAGAGGAAGAGGGGAAAATGGGAATGTTCGCAGTCAGCCCTAAGCCCCGAGCAGAGGCAGTTCCAGCCGCCAGGGTCCCTCACACAATGCTGAAAGCGAAATACACGTATTTGACGTGCCTCACAGCTGACGAAGCACCCAAAAGCAGCCCTCACTAAAAGAGTTAAAAGAAAAAGAGAGAGGGCAGGGCAAAACAGTAGAAGACAAACAAGTTCAGGGCTCAGGAAACTTTTCAGGCTGTCAAAAATTAGAGAAAGCTCCTTCGCTTTCTGCAGAGCAGCTGCAGCCAGGTAAAAGATGGAACTGGTAAATCTCTTCAATTAAAAAAAAAAACAACAAACCTACTTCAAACAAGGATCAACAGCTGAGCGTAAACCACCACGCTTCATTATCAAGAAACAACTCAAATAAAATCTTTCCCAGTGAAAAACAAACTTCATGGGCTTTCACACCAGGAGTGAATATACCACAGATCCTGACCCTCACGTGATGGGAATTGGAGGCTCTTACAGATAAGACGCAGAGAGGCGAAGTACACACGTGTTAGGTATTAAGCATCCGTTCCTCTTTGATTTCTCTACTTCCCCAATTTTTAATCACCTACAGGTAAAATACTTAGAAAGTGCCTATCACATTTAAGACACTGAATCATTTAAGACAAGAATCACTGCAGAAGTTGCAAAGACACTTCGAAGATACTGTCATCAACCTGCTAAGGATCCACTGAGAAGTTATACAAAAGCTTCTAACATGAGGCCATATATATGTCTCAAAAAGGACGCAAACACAATGCTAGGTGAGCAATATTATTTTTGACTGGGGCGATGATTGCAAGTCAGATGGAGAAAGAGACATTTGGATAGGCTTTTGAAAATGGGGAGAATTCTGATAGGCAGAGGCTGGGGAGGGCTTTGCAAGAGACTCTAGGTGTCCATGTATGCAGATTCAGAACCAGAGTGTATGGTTTAAGCAAACTGCTAGTAATTCAGTTTGGCCATATCTCAGTGTGTGTGTGTGTGTATATATATATATATATATGTATATATACACATATATATGTCATTATGATTTTTCCCTGTTTTTCTTCTTTAACATTGTTTGATGTGAAGAGAAAAAGTCCACAGAAAACATGTTATCGAATTCTGAGCCTGGGGCCGAATGAATAAAGTTCTCTGATTAAAAAAAAAAAAAAAAAAAGTATATGACCAAGTTGCTTCTACATTGGCTGACTCAAACTGAAACATAGCCTGGCTGGGAATTTATAGTCTAATAATGAGAAATTATTTCTAAATTATTTCCAAATTAAAAGTTTAACAGAATTTAAATTAGGGCTTCGATTCTTCTTACGAAGCTGGCTCTCTGAGGCCCATAAGCCTTAACAACTTTCCCTGAGGGAATTGTTGCTAGCCTGATTCTGAGAAGCAGCTCCTCTTGTGTAATTGTCCCACTATGTAAATAAACAAGTTAAGAAAGATCTCTGGGGCCCAGCATGTGACAGTTGCCTCCTATGTCAGGTAGTTGGTAATTGTCAGCCTCTTTGGATGGTTACACAACATTTGGTCTTCTGTATGCATATTCAGGGCCCCTAAAGTTTTATTTCATGGTTCAAGTAGTATCTATAAATTCATGCACCTGCTTACCATGTTTTTGTCATTTTGTATTTCTAGGGTACTATATTTAAAGCAAATATGTAACATTATTTTCTCATTAGCATGTCATTAGTACCTTGTTTTATGCTAATGTATCGCCATTGCTATGAAACTTATACTTTTTAAATAAATTCTTTTTTGTGATCACTTAGTCCCCATACCACTGGAGTGGACAGGTCTCTCGTATTAGAATCAAGAAATAGCTAATTCTCTCTCTGGCTTGTCCTTTACAGGCAACTGAGAGAGCTGGTCCTCTTCCCCAGTGAGTGCATGAAGTCCTGTGGAATCAAAGAGGGAGAGAGTGCCCAAATCACAAGCATCTTCCAAGACTGACACCATATCTCTTCCTCTCTAATTCCCTTAAAAATGAAGAAGACAGATGGCACTTGTGTTCAGTTTTCACCTACTTTTCTTCCCTCCTAATCTGGTCATCAATTGTGATCTTCAGTCAGACTATTTCAGGAATGAGATAAACAGATGGTTACTGGGAATCAAAGACAGCAAAAGAGAAGGGAAAGGAAAGAGGAGAGAAGGGAATAGCATTGAGCACCTACTATGTGCCGGGCCTGAAGCCTTCATGGCTTCATATTTTATGTTTTTTAATATTAATCTCCACAGCTGTCACTGGAGGTATCTGATTGGATAGAAAAGAGGCTAAAATTCACAGAAGTCACATAGCAAGCAAGTGCAGAGCCTGTGTGCATCTCCAAGCTGATGCTATTTTCACGCTTTCCACTATTACACACGAGAGACAGGGAAGGAAAAACACGGCACCGAAAAGGCACTGTGGAAGTTGGAAAGGGGAGAGCATGTTGGAGGAAGAGCCTGAAAATCATCCTAATCCTATTTAACTGCCTGCGATACTGGAATGCCTACATGGAAATAGGGGTATGGGGCGGCTAAAATCCTGTGATGATTGAGAGCTGGTGTCTTCAAGTAAGAAGTACGGAGCCCAGACCCCTTAATCAACCAATAGGAGCCACAAGCCCTCTTAGGAGTAACCCATAGGTGAGGACTAGAGACTCACCCCAGCCCCCAACCCTCAAATGAATAAGCAGCTCAGCTTGACCCTCTTTGCCAATTCTTTCCAGGGTAGTTTGTTTATTCTCTGCATTCTGTCCGTCCTCAAGGCTAATGCTGCATATGTCTTGAGTTTCTCATAGCATTCACTGTCAATGAAAACACTCCAAATACAGTCAAAACTCTGAAATTTGACCTCTAAGTGAAACTTTTGGTATTTGGAATTTTCAAGTATTTTGATAGATGATCCCAGATTAGCGCTCAATGGAATCTTGTATACACAGGGCAGAACGCTAAGGAGTGCTTTTACAGAAGCCAGGAATGGCTCACTGTCTGCTGCCCTTTCTACTCCTTCACACACATTCCAGCCTCCTCGTCAGTCTGTTCAGAGGGAGCCAAGGTGGTTCTGCCAACTGGGAAAATGTTTGAGACACAAGTGGCAGGCGGAAAAATGCAGGGCTGATTTGGAAGGCTGCTTTCGAAATTACATGAACTCAAAGGTTGTGGGTTGATGTCAAAGCCTTCCTGTGGGCTCTGGAGGCCAGCGTTTGAGGATTTTCACCAATTGATTTGTGATGTGTGTGCCCAACTCTGTGCCAATTAACCTTCTCACTCTGCATGCACCCCATGTCCCATGCCCAGTGCAGACAAGCTGGTGACACTCACACTGGCAGCTGTGACCAGGACCCCGTGAAAGAGCTTGGCCCAGATCAGCTTTCCTAGCTCCAGACCATGGCTCTCATCTGGAGTCCAGATCCTGCCACAAACACTTGTAGGTGGTAATAGATTTCCTTTACTTTGTCTCGCAGCCCTCCCTACTGTCTGGTGAATTCCCATCTATGGGCCTCCAGGAGCATGTGCTCTCCCTTTATGGCATTCCCTGGAGATGCAACCATCAGCTCCAACCCATATGACAGCAACCTGGTCTGTCCTGTCCTGGGACCATTACTACACCCACTCACTCCAGCCAAACCAGAATTCTTGCATTTTCTCAGTTGTTTCACAGATCTGGAATTGTGTGATTCCCTTCTCTTCCACCCATGAGGCTCAGTTAAAACCTATTGCCTCCAGAAACACTTTCATGACTAACACAAAGCTCTTTAGTCTTACCAGTCATGTTAATACCTGTAAACCACTGTTATGTGGCACATTAATTAGATTGGCTTGTTACATGTTCATATGGAATCCATTTGTTCGTTGCAACTACTACAGGCATAAAGTTTTAACATCTTGAATTTAGAAGGAATATTAAACATTTTCTAATCCAACCACTCAACTACCGCAGTAGTTGAGCTGATTATCTACCTGCATATACAGAGTGTATTATCTCACAGAGGGCCCCAAGCTATTGAAGAATGTTCTTCCTTTTAATTTCCATACACTAGCTCTGATTCTGCCATTTTGGAATCAGACAGGACAAATCTATGCTTTTTTCCACAAGACTGTCCTTCAGATGTTTGTCAAAAGCCCTTACAAGAATTTTTTTGGTGTAGTCTCACATTTTTTTCCATCTAACCACATGACTTTCATCCATTCATCCAGCTGACTGCTCTTTTTTGGATCTGCTCCAGTCTGTCAGTATCCCTTTAAAAATATGCGGGCATCTACTCTAAGCTTAGAGCTCTAGACTTGGCCCAGCACAATAGTATATGGTACATTGTGTGCCTATTCCCTGCATTCAGGGCACTGTACTTTTGCTGATGCAGTCTGAGATTATGGGAGGCTTTATTTTCTGTAATCTATATTTACTCATTCATAAATTTAACATTGGATGCCTGAAAAAATAGCGTAAGTATAGTAGGTACAAATGTGAGTATGATGTGGTCTCTGCTCTCAAGGGACTGTCTGCGAGGGAAGACAGAAAAGAAACTTACCACTATACCACATGTTAAGTGAAGTGTAGGAGGCTGGAGGCCATCTCTATTGCCTCATGCTGTTTTTTATATATGATCTGTTTTAGATCATATATAAGCACATATATTAGATCATATATATCCAAGTGCATACATTGCTGGGTGCTATTTTTGTATTTTCATAAAATCTGCTGTTACGTGACTGTTCTCTATTCTTTACTTACCAAATGATCTTTGGAACTGAAGAATAGGTCTTTAAATTTATTGCCGTAGTTGAGTTTTGTTCAATTCCTGACTTTCTCCTCCAGCTATTTGTTTTTGCCTTGTTATTTCTGGTAGCTAACAACCCCCCACCCCAAAATTATAAAAGTAAAAAATAAACAACTAATTGAATTTGGGGAAAAGGTAAAGTAAGGGCAGGAAAATAATAAAGTCAGGGGTAAAATCCATTCACAGATATGCAAGCCACGAAGTCCTGCACATTTGCTGGAAGTGGGTGAGAATGTGGCTTAAGATGCCTCTCTGACAAAGCAAAACGGAAACAAGACCAATTACAAAATTCAGCAGATCTGTAAGATGAAAAACAAAACAGTGGTCAAGATAAATACAGATCACTAGGTATGGTGACTCCAGGGAAGATTTTCCCAGGTCCTCAGAAAGAATCAGCACACCTGGAATCAGCACTTTGGGAGGCCAAGGTGGGTGGATCACTTGAGCTCAGGAGTTCGAGACCAGCCTGGGCAACAGGGCAAAAACCCATCTCTAAAAAAAAATAAAATAAAATTACAAAAGTTAGCCAGGTATGCTTGTGAGGGTCTGTAGTCCCATATACTCAGAAGGCTGAGGTGGGAGAATCACTTGAACCTGGGAGGTCAAGGCTGCAGTAAGCCATGAGTGTGCCACTGCATTCCAGCCTGGGCAACAAAGCAAGACCCTGTTTCAAAAAAAAAAAAAAAAAAATCAGCACCCTGAAAAATATTGGATAAGGGAGGAAAATGTAATTCACGGTTTCTTAACTGTATCCTTCACTGTCAACAATAATATAACAAGCATTATTTAGGAAAAGTAATTTCTGTGAGGGTCTTTGAAAACCATGGTTCAAGTATTCTATTGTCTGTGATCTTTTAAACCATGTCACAGACCATATCAGCACTTTCCGGCTTAAAATATTGGAGAGTTTTCCATTGCACCGAGAACAAAAATCAAACTCCTTACTTGGCCCACCAGGTCCCGCACAATCCAGTCCCTGCCAACCCCTCCCCCATCAACTCCAGCTCCCTGCTAGTGTCATCCACGTTGCCGCCTCAGTTGCCTTTCTGCACACGCTTCTCCTCAGCTGCAATGCTGCATGGAGCCTTCCTGTGGCTGACTCTTTCTCAGCCTCCAAGTATCAGCTTAACTGATGCATCCTCAGGCAAGCCATCCCTGCTGACTTCCTCTAAGTGAAGGCAGTATCGGTATCCCCTTAGAGGTTCCTATAGCCCCTCTCCCAATTTATAATTACATTTGTATTTGCTCATGGACCTCTGTGTTGCTCATTCTTCCCAGTAGACTGCTTTGGGCGGTCTGTGTCTATTTCATTCACATTCTATACTTGATGCCTACTGTAAGGCCTGGCACAGAGTAGGAGGATATCAGTAGGATTGGTTGAACAAATGATTGAATCAATAATTGAATAAATGATTATATGAATTTCCGCAAAGATAAAATTTAGACTGTCTAGAGGAATAGATGCATATTTTTTAAGGCAATCATTACAAGTATTATTCTTGTTGCTGATGATACAACTTGGATTGAGTAAGGATTGGACAGCAGATAATTCTAGGTTTTATTCTCTGCGAAGAGCTTAAATACTGTGATGGTTAGTACTGAGCATCAATTTGATTAGATTGAAGGATACAAGTATTGATCCTGGGTGTGTCTGCAAGGGTGTTGCCAAAGGAGATTAACATTTGGTTTAGTGAGCTGGGAAGGCAGACCCACCCTTAATCTGGGTGTGCACCATCTAATCAGCTGCCAGCTCGGATAGAATATAAAGCAGGCAGAAAAATGTGAAAGGTGAGACTGGCCTAGCCTCCCGTGCTGAATGCTTCCTGCCCTCAAACATTGGACTCCAAGTTTGTCAGTTTTGGACCTCAGACTGGCTCTCTTTGCTCCTCAGCTTGCAGACAGCCAATTATGGGACCCTGTGATCGAGTGAGTTAATACTTAATAAATTCCCCTTTATATCTATCTATCCTATTAATTCTTTCCCTCTAGAGAACCCTGACTAATGCGAATACATGTATTTCACTTTGTTGGCTAGTGACAAAAGTATATGCTTTGACCGTTAAACAGCGCAGTTTAAGGTCCCTTTTGAAAATTAGGGATCCTGGAAGGATGGGCAAACCTCTTGCTCCACAAAGACAGGCTAAAGGGCATAAGAAAATTTGAGTAATATCTACCTTATCTTTGTAGCAGTTACAAATTGTATAGGCATGCTTGCCGTGCCTTTAACCAAACAGCAGAGCAGCACTGAGCCAGCTACATTCAGCTGACCCTACAGATACCTCTTCTGAGAGACTTCAGTCCACTGGTCTGTGTTTTGTGGGAAGAACTATCAACTAGATGTAGTGCTCCAAGCTACCTTCTTTTCTAGCCCATATTATTCCATAGGGATACGATGGCAGAATCTTCTGAGTTGATCACCCACCAACTGTGTCTATGACCTTCCTCTGATGGGCCAGTCTTGCTACCTTACCAAAGTGGGAGACTGTGTTCATGTAGCTTCATTTGCTCTTTGTGGACTCAAACTGCATCTGGGTTATCAACCATCTCCGTTTCTTCATGCTCATACATATCTCTTTAATAATTCCTTTTACTGGAGATTTTAACAAATTTACTATCGAGCATTTTCTAGAACCTACTTATTTTTGTCCTCAATGAAAATAAAAGCAATTGCTTATTTTTATTTTCAATGAATTGCTTAGATTACTAGAAGGGAATTTTTAGTCTTTTAGGTAGAATTTGTCTGCACTTAGAGGCTTACCTTCATTTACTTTAGGTAGGATTCTATAACCTCCTCCCATCTTGAACAACAGTGAATATATTTTCTTAATGTTGACTCAAATTATAATTTGAATATGAAATGAACACTTGCTCATTGAAGAAATCCTATGATGAATCCTTTGGATAATCTTCTGATCATCTGTTTTGTAAATATTTGGGATTACCCAGTGAGAGGCACACCATTATTAGGATTATCTGCTGACCTGTTGCCCTGTATTCTGTCTCCATTCTTATATACAATCCCTTTCTTCATGGTGTCAAGCAGCAGTTGGGAATTGAGTACAGCCCACGACTGTGGAGGAATAAAGGCACGGAAGGAATAATGCAATTGCAATTCTTAGATATGCCTTCTTGGATAAATGCAACTCAGTATACCAAAAAAATATGATAGAATGCTTTCCTTCCATATTCCTAATATAAGACCGTCAATCTGTACTTGAAAGTGGTGCAGGGAAGAGTAGCAACATTTTTAAAATCCTGTGAAGAGAAGAGCACTATAAATTTGAGAGAGTAGCAAAATATCCCCTAGAGGTCTAGATTTAGGCATCATGTAGCTCTGAAGTGACTGGAAGACACATTTTAGGGTAATAGCAGGACAGCAAGGGGAGGCTCCTCTTTTGAGTTAAGAGAAATAAGTTAACCAAAAGTGATCCTGGGGTAATAAAAAGATTTTTTTCTGGCATCTCGTTTGTCATCAACAGAGACAAAGTCACTAACTCATCTTACCATTTCTTTTACCCTTTCTTATTCAAATATTTCTAATGTATTCTTCATGCCAGGCACAGGGCTAGACTCTGATGGTACAGAGAAGAAGAAGACACTCTCTCTTCTCAACAATAATTTATCATGGCAAAACAGAAGGACAGTGACAATTACAGGACCACGTCGCTGGTGCTACAAGAGAGGTGTGCAGAGGAGAGATGACTACGTCAGAACAGAATAGAGGCATTCTACATGGCAGAAAGGTGGTGCAGGTGCCTGGAGGGATGCATACCTGGGCGAGAAAGCTGGGAAGCTGATATGGGGGAAAAGATGCCCATGAAGAGAAAAAAAAAATGCGTAAATACTTTCCTATGTGATACCCCTCCTTCAATTAATAAGATAGATTAGTATTCAAATCACCATGACAGGCTGGGCACAGTGGCTCACGCATGTAATACCAGCACTTTGGGATGCCAAGGCGGGCGGATCACCTGAGGTCAGGAAGGTCAGGAGTTCGAGACCAGCCGGGCATGGTGGCGTGTGCCTGTAATCTCAGCTACTCAGGAGGTTGAGGCACAAGAATTGCTTGAACCCAGGAGACAGAGTTTGCCGTGAGCTGAGATGGTGCCACTGCACTCCAGCCTGGGTGACAGAGTAAGACTTCATCTCAAAAAAAGAAAAAAAAAACACCATGACATAGGGGATCTCAGGGACAGCATGCATGGTGATGGGTGTGTAATTCCACTGCGGGAATCATCACACAATGCATCCCTATCTCAAATTATCTTGCATACCTTGAAGATATACAATCTTTATCGGTCAATTAAATATTTTAAAATTTAAAAGTCATCATGATACAACACCTCACATAGTGATGTGTGTGTGTGTGTGTGTGTGTGTGTGTGTGTCTGTGTGGTGACAGTTGAGATCTACTCCCTCATCAAATATTCAATAGTCTTATTAATTACAGTCACCATGCTGTACATTAAATCCCCAGAACTTATTTATCTTTTAATGGAAAGTTTGTACCCTTTGACCCACATCTCCCCATTCCATATCCCCTGTCACTGGGCCCAGCTTCTGGCAACCACCATTCTACTCTCTGCTTCTGTGAGTTCAATTTTTTTTTTTTTTGATACGGAGTTTTGCTGTTGTCATCTAGGTTGGAGTGCAATGGCGTAATCTCGGCTCACTGCAACCTCCGCCTCCCAGGTTCAAGTGGTTCTCCTGCCTCAGTCTCCTGAGTAGCTGGGATTACAGGAGCCCACCACCATGCCCAGCTAATTTTTGTATTTTTCATAGAGATGGGGCTTCACCATGTTGGCCAGGCTGATCTCGAACTCCTGACCTCAGGTGATCCACCTGCCTCGGCCTCCCAAAGTGCTGGGATTACAGATGTGAGTCACTGCGCCTGGCCGAGTTCAACTTTTCAAAATTCCACATGTAAATGAGATCATGCGGCATTGGTCTTTCTGTGTCTGGCTGATTGCACTTAGCATAATGTCCTCCAGGTTCATTTATTTTTGTGCCTGTTTTGTACAGACGTTTCGGAGGCGTTCTTTCCCATTAGAGAATATGTGTGTATGCATGAAGATGCAGAGACTCCTGACATTTTTCAACCATTTATCTTTACAGCGTGATGCTTATCACAGCACGCAGTGGCCTCTGGCCCATCTCCCAGAGCACCACCATAATCACTGTGTGTCTTCTGGTTCAGACCTGTTTAAACAGATCTGGTATAACGCAGATAGCCAGGCATGGTTACCTACTCCTTAACGGCCCCACCAAAATGACTCAACACTGATCAATCACAAGAGAATATTTACTGAGCACCAAAAATGTATTTGCTGCACAGAAAGATAGAACATATCAAAAGCTACTCACAATCTTCAATGACCTTAAAACCCTCTCTTTCCTTCCCTGACTTTGGGAGTCTCAAGGGCTGTCCTTGGCCTTGGCTTGTTTCTTAATATGGCTTGCCTTGGAAAAATCCATTCCCAGCACTCCGTTAATCAGCCAGTGCATTGTTGTATGTGAAAAAATGTAAGACCAAAACTGTGTGGTATATACGATGATTATAATGTTTTGAAAATTAAAAAAAAAAAAAGGCATATTTGGAAAAAAAAAAGCTTAGAA